AGTTTATGCAATTTACACGAACTGAACAGATTTCCGGCTTGTCTATTGTCGATTTGATATCTCAATCAATCAAGTAAACCTCATTAAAATCCACCTTATGAGGTTAGCAGGTCGCAATTGGATATGATGATATATTGTGTTGGGACAATTAGCATACATCGTAATACACAGTACGGTCAGCTTGACGCATGGAGCCGGGAACAGCCACTGTTGGCGTTGTATAACAGTCGAGACCTATTGCGTAGCTCATTTAGATTTGGTTGTAAAACGAAAAAACAGTTGTTAAATTTTTTTTTTGGGGGGGGGTACTCCAAGTCAGACCTGGTACCTATGCTGAAGTATAGCTTTTCAAAAAAAGCTTCTAAACACGTACTTATTTTTGTGAAATTATACGTCTTTTCAAGTACAGAAACTTGAAATAGATACCCTATATACATACTAAAATCATACTGTTTCCAAGGTGAGGTAACATGAATTCATGAGATTCCTTTTTTTTCAAACTTTATTTATATATTTTAAAATATTCGACCATAAACACGGTACACGCGTATACGCGTCAAATAACACCCCTTTTACGCTTGTTTTACTTCGGCTTGCGTATTTTATTCACAGAACCCCACCCCCGGGAAATATTGGTGACCAATTTAGTATGATAGAAAGCGTTTACAGTCTTCAAATAACCACAATAGACAGAGTGGGGGTCAAGACCGAATATACGTGATTCCGGCGTTTCGTACTAATTGCTTCCTATTAATAATTTCACCTTCAAATAATATTCATGAGATATTTCTACGTCATAACCTCGTTAAACGTTATTACCATATTGTGTACGCAGTGCGCATGCTTCGGGCTCTTTTTTCCGTATTCCACAACGCATGCGTCATCACAGTGAGGTCAATTGAAGTTTACGTTACATGCAACATCACGTTCAGCACCGACAATTGGTTTCATCACATTCATATTGTGCTGAACGTTGTCTTCGTATTCGAAAGCCACACATAAGCGACACTACCAGATTTATACAACAGCTAACAAGCCAGCGACTGCTGAGGATTTGAACACACTCCCACCATGTCATACGCTGTAATATGCAATGACAATTCTGGTGTTATGCCTTTAGTTAGTAACCGTTATTCCGCGATGATTTTTACCGTAAATTATAATAGTTTTACCATTTTCAGCGCGTTTAAAAAAAACATTATTGTCTATCAAAACTTGTTTATATCTGTAAAGAACAAGTCATTGTTAATGATACAGTCCCCGTCCAAAATTTTGTGATCTGACATATCAATTTGATGCCGATAAAGTCATTGAGATTAGATTGAAACCATTAATAGGAGATGGATTTGAAAAAAATATATGATTTAGTGCTTCTACACGAGAATTGAACATTGGGCAGTCATTTTGAATCAAATCACAAAAATAATGTTCATGTTGAAGTATCTATTGGTATACTGTCTTTGTACGAAATTTAAACAGAAATGTTCATTGCATTCATGAGAAAGTAGGCATGGGTATGAAAAACAAAATGGCCACCAGTCAGCCATATTAGTTTGAATCACAGAAAAAATATGACATGCAACTATAACCCAATATGTATGATCATCATACCAACTTTGATCCAAATTGGCCTAGTCATCTCTGAGAAACAGCTCCGGGAAAAAAATACGATTTAGCACTTTTACATGAGAATTGGGCATTGGCCGGCCATATTGAATCGAATCACAAAAATAATGTTGGTGCGCATGTATCCCTTGCTATACTATCTTTGTACAAAATTTAAAGAGAAACTTTTATTGCATGACAAAGAATGTCCAAAATATAACATTTTCAAAAAACAAGATGGCTGCCAGTCGGCTATTTTGAATCGAATTGCTAAACCACTGCATGTGCATATGTCCCACATAAGGTACTAGGCACATGCAAAGAATGAACGAAATCGGTCAACAGGATTCTGAAATATGACTCTGGACAGACTGACGCACGGACGGACGGACACACGGACGGACAGACAGACTCAGGAACTCACGAATGGTCAGGGACATGTATCCTAACATGTAAGATCTATGTACTAAATTTGAATGAAAACTGACAAAGCATGTCCAAAATACGACATTTTCAAAAAACAAGATGACTGCCAGTCGGCCATTTTGAATGCAATCGCTAAACCACTGCATGTGCATATGTCTCACATAAAGTACTAGGCACATGCAAAGAATGAACGGAATCGGTCCAAGCGATTCGAGATATGACTCCGGACGCACGGACGCACGGACGCACTGACGCACGGACGCACGGACGGAGACCGAATTATAAGTCCCCGTTTTCGGACTTCGTCCGAACGGGAACTAAAAAACACATCAAACACACGTGTAGTGAAATAATTGTGGCGTTTCACCATAACATAACGGCGTGTCATGCCATCGGCTAGTTCCTGCCTCAAGTGTCATGGCGCACCGAACCACAAGAGGCCGATAGCTAGTAATGGTTCCGGCATTTTAAATGTTCATCTCAATTCACCTCCAGATTTTTTAAAACAATTTTTGTTTGCCAGTTTGTGACTGGTCTGGTTTACTAAGGTTTAACAGAGGTACATTACTTGGGGTTTGCAACACGCATAGTACTGTATGGTGACATCATGCCAAGATCCCATTCAAGTCTCATCTCGTAGATAGCGAGACTGACGCTGCGACCTTCTGACATGACATAGGCGGTTTGTAATAATACAATAACACATGTATTACCACATTCATAGCGAAAAAATGTAATGCATCGAAAATGTACAGAAAATATAGTTATCATAATCCGTCACATCGTGAACAGCTATTTTGATCCACCTAGACATCCCAGTATCCTAGTTACCTCGGGCATGCGCATTCGCATTTTTCTACGTTGGAACGCTTATGCGAGAGCGAGATTGAAACGGGATTATGGTATCATGTCACCGTAGTTGCAAACCCCAAGAAATGTACCTCTGGGTTTAACAGAATATCTCAAAATATCCCCCACTATCAATAAATTGCACACAATACACCCGGTCCGTGTTCTTACGTGATTGCCTGTTTTGTTAGCTGCTCTCAATAAAATAAGTATTTCAATTGAACTCAAAACATCTTTTTAGCATTTACATTGACTGCGTAGGAAATGAGAACAACTTGTGCAGACGACACTTTCAATCTAAACTGCATGCGTCACTTTAATTTGATTTTCAACAATTTGTTATAAAATTCATGTACTAGAAAAAGTAGTACTCAAATAACATTCGGAAGAAATATTGTCACCCCCCGTTGAAAAATTTATTCAATTTGTTTTTGTATAATATAAAAAATCATTAACTTAGTTTATATTTTATTTTAAAGTTTGGGCCCCCATAAATACATCCTGTATCCGCTCATGTAAACGGTTGTATTTAGAATTGGTGTACGTTCACCGACCTGCACACCCTGGAATCATCAATGTACCGCATCCAGATCTGAATTCTATCTCTTAGGTAGGAAATAAATCAGAGATATGCCAGGATGGTAAATTAGTTTGGGACTAATTTACCATAGTGGAATGTTATAGTTACCGAGACAACACACTACGACGTAATCTACATAATGTACGTGAGTGCACGTTTTTGTCTGTGGAATTTTACATTAATCTACTGTATTCATATCCATAATATAATGCACTACAGTTCTGAATAAAACATATCTCTCAATGCGGCACTTAAAAATCAACCATTAAACCTCCTGTAGATAGGTGGAAATACCGCTGTTTGTCTAAGTTGTCTGAAACTATCCCCTCTTTTTAACTTAGGTATTACACAATTTGCGGGTTTCTCCTGCCTTTGTACCTGGTTGGTTGACGTAGTAAACGATATGTAACGAGCAACTTAATTGTATATTATTATTTATTGCTAAATACACGGTGAATAAAGTACCTGGGTGGGGATATTTGTCAACAATAAATCACGTGACACTTTGTATATCTGGTCTTGTATTCGGGAGCACATTTAATAGAAACACAATATTTCCCCGCTGAACCAACATTTGAATATTTTTTTTTTATTTTTTTTGGCTGTTTAAATTTGAATGATATTCAATTACAAGTCTCCCTTGCAACACAAATAGTTATATCAGCTGAAATTAATTTAGTTCATTGGTGACTTGTACTACAATATGATATATTTGTAAACGTGAATATATACGCAAAATGTGAGCTATCGTAAATGTTTTAAAACATGATGTAGATCGTTTTGGGTTTATATATTAGTTTGTGTTCAAATTCCATTTGCCAAAGCTTTTGAAACGTGCTCTAGGAGCCGCCATTTTACTCATGCACACGACAAATAGTTAATATTAGCCACAATTTTTGCATATTCGTACCATCCAATGTGTCACGTCCCATGAACCTACTAGGAACCATCGCAATCTATCATTTTTGTATTTGACAACTTGGTAATGATAAATACTTTTCGTGGGATAGATTGCAATACTGTTGTCGAAAGCCCAGGGTTCAGCCCAGCAGAATTAAGGAACCATCCACAAAATAAGTTTCCCTATCAATTAACATACCTATATACGCAGATACGATGACGTTTTCAAAAGTAAGACACGCAATCTTCAATTTCTTCTAAAGTATCTCGATGTATCAGTAACTCCAGGTTTCAGAGACTGTTGCCTTTAACATACGAGCTTCGCATTTCCAAGCGAAAGCAGAACCCCACACAGGTGTTGCACCCGGCTGTGCAAATATAAATAATACGGATGTCTAGGAGGCTAGTCCGATTGATTGAGAGGACAATTAGTGGTGCCACACAAATCGATAACATTTGACAGTTACCGACCATAAAAAATGTATATCGTCCTAGGGAGGAAACAAATCACATTTAAAGGATTAAATCTCGACAATTTCCGACTAACTTTAAAAGGCTACCAAATGTTCACTGGTGGGCAATAGAATTATTGACGCATCACACTGTTTAGCGTGTCATATTGTCTTTGGAATTACTGTTCAAATTGTTACGGAGCTTACTAACATCATTTCTATATTTCATGGTAAGTTTTTATATTTATTATGTAGCTAAAATACACCATGTATATGTATATTAATATATTGAATATTTTTTGTGGAACTCGTTTACATGAGTTAAACGTTATTTTAATATCCTTGTACATGTATAAGCACAGGAAGCCCAGGAACTATGATCAACTGTACGCTCTCCCTATGAGCGCGGGGGGGGGGGTATCGGCTGGTATCTAGTGTAAGAAATAGACAAGGGATGAAGGCTCCAGCCAGCTAACATTTTTTAAACTCGAAGAAACAGACGAAAAGAATGAAAAATAAAATCTAAAAAAATACCAGGTTGAAGAATATTAGTTGCTCCTTCAAATTTCGCCAAAGCCTTACCTACATTTTACCGATATCTGCAGAATAAATCAAGAAAACTACAGAAATTTACTCCATTTAGGAATTCCTAACGGTTTGCCCAAACGCACGGCAC